TTCAAACAGATGGCAACCCTCCTCAAATATATTTTCGGCTGTAAGCTATCTTAAAAATCTAAAGTTTTGCAGTATTTTATTTGTTTTATCAATTTAACTGAGTTTACATTTTCAAAAAGGTAGCAATTGTACACAAAAATATTTCTATAATATGATTTAAAAATATTTCTCTTTAATTTGATGGCAATATTGCAATATTTCATTTATTTTATCAATGTAATTTAGATAAATTTTCAAACAGGTGGCAATCCTTTCTAAAACTCTTTAGTTTGACACCCACATGGCAATATTTCAATTTATCAATCTAACTGAGTTCAAATTTTCAAATAGGTGGCAACCCTCCTTAAAAATACCTTTATCAGTCATCTTTCTTAAACCTCTTTAATATGATACCCATATTATAATACTTCTTTTATGTTATCTATATAATTGAGTTTAGAATTCTCAAAGCAGGCGGCAACCCTCCAAATTTTTGTGATGTAAATGATCCTGGTATTATACCGAACAATACAGAAAAATGATTATTCAAATCGGTCCAACCGTTCTCGAGTTTTGACGATTGTGACATACGAACCCAAAATTGTTATATATATAGATATCTAAATCAAGATTTCTCAAATGCCTTTAGTTTGGTACCGATATTGTAACATTTTATTTATTTTACCAATTTAATTGAGTTAAATTTTCAAAGAGGTGCCCACCCTCCTCAAACATATTTTCTACTGTAGGTCTTTTAAAAACTCTTTAGTTTGCTACCCACATTGCAATATTTCATTTGTTTAATCAATTTAACTGAGCTAAAATTTTAAAATAGGTGGCAACCCTCCTCAAAAGTATTTCCAAAAGTCTTCTTTCTTAAACCTCTTGAATTTGATACCTATACCAATTAAATTGAGTTAAATTTTCAAACAGGTGGCGACCCTCCTCAAACATATTTTCCTTCTTAAAAATCAAAAGTTTGAATACTTTCAGAGCTGGAGCGTCGGGGTCCATTCGAACGACATGACCAAGCCAGCGGAGCCGCTGTATTTTAATTTGCTGCACTATGTCCATATCGTTGTAAAGCTCATACAGCTCATCGCTCCATCGTCTGCGGTACTGGCGTAAAGGCCCGTAAATTTTCCGCAAAATCTTTCTCTCAAACACTCCAAGAGCCGCCTCATCGGATATTGTCATTGTCCATGCTTCTGCGCCATATACCAGCACGGGCATGATGAGTGACTTATAGAGCGCGGTTTTCGTACGTCGATAGAGGACTTTACGCCTGAATTGCCTACTCAGTCCAAAGTAGCACTTGTTGGCAAGAGTGATTCTGCGTTGGTTCTCAATGCAGACATTATTATCGGTTTAAATGCTGGTTCGCAAGTAAACGAAATTCTCTACTTTCTCGAAATTGTAACTGTCAACAGTGACGTGGGTGCCAAGGCGCGAATGTGCTGACTGCTTGTTTGATGACAAGAGATACTTCGTCTTGTCCTCGTTTACCACCACACCCATTCGCTTTGCTTCCCTATCCAACTTGGAAAAGCCAGAACAGACTTCGCGGTTTTTGTTACCGATGATGTCGATGTCATCGGCAAAAGCCAGCAATTTCACGCTCTTGTAATAAATTGTTCCTGAGCGGTTCAGTTCTGCAGCTCTTATTATCTTCTCCAACATCAGATTAAAGAAGTCACATGAAAGGGAGTCGCCCAGTCTGAAACCCCGTTTTGTGGCGAACGGCTCGGAGAGGTCTTTCCCAATTCTGACGGAGCTGGTGGTATTGCTCAACGTCATTTTATACAGCCGTATGAGTTACTCACATATGTACATACACTTCAGCTTCCAACTCCAAGGGATCCGACGAATCTCGCAATTCCCTCCTTGCTTTAGCCAACTCTACTAATCTATTAGCTTCCACATCATCTTCCTCATCACTAAACCATATTTCAACTGTGTCCATTTTTTAAATTTTATAATAAAATCAATTATTTTAAAAATGATGTAAATAAAACACTAAAGAACCAAATATAAACAAACAAACAGCTGTTTACAATTCTGTCAACCATTCATAATAGTACAAATTTTTATCGATCAAGTTACACAATAGCAAAATAAAAGATGATCGACTCGATCCACAAATTTCTATTCTACTGCCAGTCGACACTCGCAATAGGGGTCGTTGTTTCCCATATATTTTGTTGTTGTGTGTTTGCAAGTTATGCAATCCATGCAATCCGTGCTACGTGCAATGGCTTTGAAAGATTTGGAGAATACCCCTAATGTATTAATCATTTGTCGGAACCGGAAGAATCCGACGACTATAACATATAGCTCCCATACAACTGATTGTTCAGATATGAGATTTTTTGTTATAACTTCTCCATTTATACAGCTGATGCAACTGATTGTTCAGATATGGGGTTTTACTGTAAAACTCCTATATTTGGACAGCTAAAACCGATTTTATAAAAAATAATACAAAGCCTACTGAGAAAATAGTCAAAATCTATGCTGTATAAGCTTTATCTCCTGTACCACTGATTGTTCAGATACCAGGTTTGGAGGTATATCTCCTTTATGTAGGAAGCTAAACCCATTAAATTGTGTTACCGCTTTACATACCATTCACACAGCAGTGAAACTCCCTTATATTGGTTCCATATAAGGTATATCTTCCATATCTCTGATTGTTGCGATATGATTTTTTATATATGTTTCTCCTCTATTTATGTATTTTGTGAATATAAATGCAGTAATCTGTTTAAGTAAAATTTTGAGATGTTCATGAAAGGTATGAAGCCTTCGCCATAGCCGGAGACAACGCTGCTCTTACTTGTTTTCAATTAAAGTTGGTGGTCGCCGAGCAGCATTTAAAATACCAAATACTTCCTGGGGTACTACGTCCCACGAAAGCGTACAAAAGAAATTGTTTCATACTAGAATTTATCATACTCGTTCGTTCGAGTTTTTTTATGTTTTCATAAACATCTATGAACAAAATAGCAGAAGACAACGTCGCACGTTTTCGTAAAAAAAAAACAGTTACAGAATTCAAAAACAAGCAACTAAACGGATCGGGGATGACCCAGAAATCAATATTCTTATAATAATTTCACACACATTTCTAACAAGTCTGCTTGGGATACAGTGAAGGTTTTCATAAAAACCGCTTGGCACTCAATGCGATGATACGATGGGAAAAATAAATATTACAAAATAACAATCAGACTGGATCAAACAAATTAAAATCATGAAAATAACGGTTGAACCTGATCGGAAAAATATAAATCTAATTTTAACGGTCTACCCGTAGATTGCTACTAACAAAAGTTAGGAATTAAACCGTTTAGAACATTTTGGTTCCATGTGTACATTTCAAGCCAAATTATTTCGTTTTCTATGTATGAAACTCATATTGAGTTTCTGGTTGAATTTAAATAAGTAAATCAAGTAAATTTATACCATATTTCAATAATTTCACGCACACTGAATTTGAATTTTGCATACTGTATAAGTTTTTACTGCGTTACGTTCCCACGACAGTAGGGTCTACATACCCAGAACCACCCAGATTTAAAACTAACCAAGTATTACTCACCAAAAGTATTTGGGTACATTTATGTATATGATGTTACAGCACAACCACAATCTATCACGGAATTCCCGGAATGCTTTGACTAAACTCGATCCACAATGTAGATGGAATGGCATAAATGCAAAGCAGTAGTTGAAGCTTTTTCCACAGGAAGGAACGGATTTGTCAAGATTCTTTGGCTCTTTTGGAAAAAGCGCACAACACTCGAGCGAAAAATTAGCACAAAAACAATAATAATAATAGATTGGCCCTTACACATATGTTAGTGTTTGGCCGAGCTTCTCCTCCGATTTGTGGCGTGTGCCTTGATGTTGTCACACAAAGAGGAGGGATGTACAGTTTTACGCCGACTCCAAACGGTGATTGTATTTTTATGAGAAGCTGTTTTTCATGGCAGAAATACACTCAGAGGATTGCCATTCCCTGCCGAGGCTCGACCGCCGTTAAGAAAAACCTTAAGCTTATGATAATCCATAACTGAGGCTAGTTTATCGCCAAATGCATATCTCAAACTATAGGAATGCATTTACAATAATTTGGCCTCAGGAATATTTCTGCAAATTATATTATTTTTAGTTACTGAATTGAAACATCATGAGCATTCACATATAAATACTACAAATAAATTGCCGAATTTTCAATAGGCATTGAAACAATAAACAATTTATGACATCTTAAAATGCTATATGAAAACGGTATTATTAAATAAGGCCTGGGTATTTTTCAATGCCATTCAAACTTTTGTCATTTAATACCCGTTAAAAATTGGGAATAAATGAATATATAAAAACCAAAACAAGCGACACAAAATCAAAGCGAACAAACAGAAGGGAATTTCAATACAACTCTGAAACATATAAAAAGCGAAGTGATCTAAATTGGCTAATTTGTGTAAAGCTAATTTAAATATTTAGAAGAGGTTCATACTCGTACCTTTGAGCAAATAGAGTTCATGAAATCATCCTGAAACACAATTTTGACATGGAGCAATATTGTTTGTTTATCACGAAACGAATTTAACATGGAAATAAAATAAGAAATGTAAGCGGGTTCTGTAGGTTAATAATTTATGATGATTTAAATGTTTATATTTATTTATGTATTATGAAAGGATTAAGAAAGCCAAATTGTTTAAATGTATGGTTGAACGAAAAGGATGCAAGTAACGGAAGTAGATTAAAATAAAATTATATCAAACACGTCGCTGTCCTATTATAAACAAATGTAAGCACAGATTTTTACTAAATGCTGTTTGCTACTCATACACTGGTATACATCTTTTCTTCTATCTTACATTTAGTTGCAGACTACAATTAAGTAGCAATCGAGCCATAACACGCTGCATAAAAAGCAAGCGCATTCTTTTACGCGTCGGCTTAGCTGTAAATTTATTGATAATAACTGCAATACAGTTTATACATACCGATGGAGATTTCGGTAATCCTACACGCTGACCACAGGTGGTCAACAAATTCACCAGACACTCGCGCACTCTTCCCTGGGACATCCATGGACGCTTCCAGCCACTGAGTGAAGCCGAGTCGGCTGGTGATAGGCTTGCGCTTCGCCGTGGTGAATTCGGAGTGCCAATGACGCCGTTGTTATTATGCTGCAAGTGCGTCCCAGCGGATGTAGTATTATAATTACCCTGATCTGTGCCACCCATACCACCAGCGTTACGAGATTGGGCGCCAACAGCAGAAGCCACACTCCCCACAACGTTATTTAAAACTGTTGCGCTGCTGGCGGTTGTCACTGTGGTGTTCGTTGAGGCATTCGATGAATTTGTGCCGCCAATTATAGTGGGATTATCATCGGTCTTTAGCAGAATGCGACGTCCGATGAGTGGTGTCTGCGAGACGTCGAAGGTGAACTCCATTGTGCGACCAGCAAGTTCCTTTTTACAGAACATATCCGAATCCGGATATGTGCCATAGAAGGAGAACGATAAACCGGCGCTACAACCTTCACTTGGCGGCACCACTTGAAGCGACGAGCTACGCGTGACAATTAATTTGAGTATCTTCAATGCATCCTTCCAATTGACCGTCTGTAAAAAGCATAAAAAGTTGTTCAATCGTTTACATATAAACTGGAATAGGATCCCCTCACTCACATCCAAATATTTGCCGATAGCGCGCAACAAATCACTATTAATCGTCTGTGCTTGTGGTGCGGATAAATCCACATAGTGCAGCATACAATGTATCACATTCAAAACGGGCACCTGTATTTGTTGTGGACCCTTCTCCAGCACCTCAATCAGGAAGGCTAACATATGCAGTCCCATATGTGCGTAGGTATCATGAAGATATTTCACTACACATTTAGTCCACTGGAAAGACTCCTTGCAAAATGTCTTTCGGCTGTAGAGTGTCATCACAGTGCCAAGATTTTCCAACTTGGCGCCCAATTCTGATGACACCTGTGCAATATTCTCCGCACTGCGTATACAAATCTCATTTGCATCCTCGTAGTGCAGCAGCATGTATGGTAGCAAAGAGATGACATTCATTGGGAATGCGCAGCTCTGTGTAGGATCACAAACAGGCAAGTTGAGCATCGGAGCGAATTGTGAAAGCAGTGTAATGGTGGGTTCATACGTTGAAGTGTGAGTGCAGCCCTGTAATAGAAAATAAAATGAATTTATTTATTTACTTGGACGTAACACTTATCTAGAACTTGCATTCAAGTTCCACATTCGCACTTCCCAGCAGTATTTCAGGTAAGGGTATGCAAATTCACTACAATATTCAGTACGAAAACTGCCATGAAACTCAGTTCAGAAATTAATGCCTGAAAAATTTACCGAAGAAGATGTGAAGCTTTCAGTGCTACTGAAGTTTGTTTCAGAACGCGTAGCGAAGATTGCAGGTCTAATGAACTTTTCACATATGTTTTGAAAAGGCTATTATAGGCCTTTAAAATTATGTAAATTAATATATTTTTAGACTTACATAGCTTGTTGGGAGTTTCCGTTAAGTTAGGCTAAAAAATTAATATTTTTCATTATTTTTCAAGTTTGACCATCGCTATTTACAAACATTTCTATGAAAGTTGCAAAATACGTAGTATTTATCTCAAAATACATATCTTTTCGAATAAATTGATACCTCACCTAACATGAGGCGATTTTACAGGCAACTTTTAGTTGAAAGCAACAATCGCCTGGTGTGAACGGCCTTATAACAAATCGCTTCTAATGAAGTTGGAGGACCGTCAACTTTTGATTCAACTAACTGCCTCTAAAATTGCCTGTAAAACCGCCACATGTAAACACCGTATAAGCAACTCAAGTAGTAGCAGTGCGGCTAATATTTACTCAAAATTCCTGTATACAATGGCTCTTTACCGAAAAATTGTTTTTTCATAAAATTGTACGAAAGTGGGGATGGCACCGCCCAGTTATATCATATACATATGTGTATCTCAAAAACTATTTTACCGATTTCGACCAAATTCGATATACACATTGCGTGTCATGAAAATTTTTAATCGAAACGGTAATTTAAAAAAACTCAAAGCTAGCTATATTTTCAAGACAGTACTTAAGGTGGCTAAGCGTATGTGTATATTAAATTTTGTCAAAATCGGTGAAATAGTTTGCCAATAGCGATGGCCAAAGTTGAAAAACTTAAGACAAGTATGGGGTTAAATTTTAAGCTCGCTATATAGTTCAACGTGAACGTGAACTTTTTATTTTGACCAATATTTTCGTTATTACTTCACTTTTTGCAGTAGTTTATATGTATATTAAAAGATAGAGAATTAAATATATTTCAGAATTATGAAATTAAAAGTAATCTTACTAATATTATAAATGTGAAAGTTTGTATGTTTGGATGTTTGGGAAATCATCACGCGGAAACGACTGAACGGATTTGCATGAAATTTGGTACGCAGATAGCTTATAGGCCAGATTGGTTAATAGGCTACTTTTTTTTGCCACCTGTTAAAAAAGTTTAATTTATTTAATATGCGGGAACAACTGAATAAATTTGGATGAAAATTTGCACACAGATAGCTTATGACCTAGATTGGAAAATAGGCTAATTTTCGCAAGAGTTGCCATCTGTTAAAAAAATTCCTTTAAATTAATACGCGGAAACGACTGAATGGATTTGCATGAAATTTTGCAAACAGATAGCTTATGATCTACAGTGGAAAATAGGCTAATTTTTTGGAAGAGTTGCCACCTGTTAAAAAAGTTTAATCAAATTAATACGCTGAAATGACTAAACAGATTTGAATGAAATTTTGCTCACAGATAGCTTATCACCTAGGTTAGAAAGTAGGCTACTTTTTTAAGAGTTGCCACCTGTTAGAAATGTTTAATTTAATTAATACGTGGAAATGAGTGAATTGATTTGCATGGAGGTTCTCACACAGATAGCTTATGAGGTATGTTGAAAAACTGGCTAATTTTTTTAAGAGTTACCACCTGCTAAAAAAGATTTATTAAATTAATACGCGGAACATTCTCAACGGATTTGCATGAAATTTTTCAAGCAGATAGCTTATGACCTACAGTGGAAAATAGGCTAATTTTTTGGGAGAGTTGCCACCTGTTAAACAAGTTTTAATTAAATTAATACGCGGAAAGGACTGAACAGATTTGCATGACATTTCGCGCGGAGATAGCTTATGACCTATGTTGGGAAATAGGCTACTTTTTTAAGAGCTGTCACGTATTAGAAAAGTTTAATTAAATTAATACGCGTAAATGACTGAACTGATTTGCATGAAAGTTTGCACACAGTAGGCTACGTTTTTAAGAATTGCCACCTGTTTGAAATTGAAATTTTGCGAATGCGAATATTCGCAGCAACCCTGGTATGTAGTACTAGGTTTAAGCATAAAAAGATACATCAAGCTAGGTGGCTGTCTCCAGATCGAAAAACGAGAAATCAAATCGATCGTGTTGTGATAGACGGAAGGCATGCTTCCAGCGTTTTGGACGTACTTACACTCCGAGGGCCATACATCGACTCGGACCACTGTCTTGTTGCAGCAAAGATACGCACCCGCCTCTGTGCAGCAAAAAATGTGCGCCCAAATATGCAACCAGAATGGGTATCAAATGAAGGAGAAGTTCTGTAGAGTTAAAACCCATTACATTTTTTGGTGCGTAAGGGAGGGTAGGTATTGAAAATAGCCTTTTATAATTATATCCTCAAATATCCTTGACATTTTTCAAATCTTATTTTTGAAAAAATTGTGTGTTAAGAACTAACTTTATTAGCATTTTCAATTCCTATTCGTCCCTATGAACCCCAAAAAATTATTTCATGTGGTAGCCATACTTTTGTTTTCCATTGCACTTATTTTTTTTAATAAAGTTTGGAATTAACCATGTCCTTGAAATTATAACGAGCCCTAACCGCCAAAATAACGTAAGTGACATTTTTTTCAAAATTTTTGTTTTTATGCAGAAATGCATCTAGATGTCCTAGGAATATTTCTGCATCAAAAAGAAAATTTCGAAAAAAATGTCGCTTACGTGATTTTGGCGGTTACGGCTCGATAAAAAGAAATGCCCATTTATATGAAGTTAATTATGTGTAATATGAGGTAGACTTTTATAAAAAAATTTAAATTTTGGATAAACAAAAGGAATATAGACAAAACTGGTCGAATTAAGGCGCTTCTTTTATTTCTGCCACCAGTATAATGAACTTCTTTCAACCAGCAAATACATTTTTTTATTTATTTTTTTTTTGCAGCGAGCTTTTTTCTATATACCTTAAATTATTTTATCAGATATGTACACATTAAAGTATTATTAAATGCATATAAATTTAATTACTGTCTTTCGTTTTGTTACTTATGAAATAGTTTCCACTTTAAATTAAAAGTACGTTTCAAACCCATTTACTTATTATTTATTATATGGTAGGAGAGCTTCTCAAACCATATTGATGCAATAATAAATATCTAAATCCCTGGACTGATCCCGGGATTGAACCAACGACATCCTGAAAATCCCGGGATCGTAAAAATCGAAAAAATTAACATCCCTAGTATATACATATTGACAACAGAAAGACCAAGTGAGGCAACATTAACATACCAACACTATGGGAATCATGTACAAGAAGATTAACATTAAAATCACCACACATTACGATATTTTTATACTCAGGTACGGCGATAAAGAAAAAAACAACGCGTCAAGGCTTATAGATTTATGTGGGTTGCAAACACATGACACTAGGATTTTGGAACATCTATCAGACAATTCAACAAAAACATATTCTACATAACAGTTATCGGATTTACAAATGAGTCTCATATTAATATTATTTCTGCAATAAGCAGCTATTCCACCCCCTTTCTTATTAGGTCTATCATGGTGGATCATTATATAATTTTTCATAGAGGAATGAATGTCATTGAAATTACTAGAAAGCCACGTTTCAGTACTACAGATTACATATACATTCGAGTTTTCAAATGTGTATCTTATTGTGTCCATTTTCTCATCATTTAAGCTCCCAGCACTGAAGTGAATAACACTGAAGCCCTTCAGCCTATCACATAAAATGTTAATCAAAGTTAGACTGTTTTCATGAACATCACACAGACTTTAACAGCAGCATAATTGTTGACATATTTAATATAAACTATTCCACTAAGCGTTGTTGGCAGCCCTGACTAGTGGTGGTACTTGACCGCGAAGGGCGAAAAAAGCCTGTTATTTGTGGAGCCAAAAAGTTAATAGAGAGACAGACTTTATTAAAAATGCTCTTGAGATTTTCTGCCTTAAAGCTGTGACAGACGGCAAAGCTTATGCATATAATCTGGCATACATATGCGCATAATAATTTTGACCTCACAGACGGCAGTTATGCGGATAAACGAGCCGCAAGGTCGTGGGTTCGAGTCCCACGGCCAATTAAATTTTCATTTTTTTTTT